ACTCCTGACCCGCGCTGCAGCAGCAGCAGCAGCAGCAACATTAGCAGCAGCAGCAGCAGCATTAGCAGCACCAGCAGCAGTAGCAGGAGCAGCACTAGCAGCAGCAGCAGGATAGTGAGAAGAAGCAGCAGCAAGGATTTCTAAGAGGCGGCACTGAAGGGGTTGTTGAGCATCTCCCGAGCGCGGCCCTTGGCCCGCAGGAGGCCAGGGTTTAGGGTTTAGGGTTTAGGGTTTAGGGTGTTGGGGTGTACGTGTCCCAGATTTGTAGTTTAATTTGTCTCCCGTCTATCTGAATGAGGCGGGCCCCAAACTCGACGCCAATGGTCAGGTCGTGGTCCGTTCTGAAGCGTTTGTCTGTGAACTGCAGCAGCAGACAGCTCTTTCCTACGCCTGAACACCAAACCCTAAACCCTAAACCCTAAACCCTAAACCCTAGTCGTCATGCTTCATCTCGCCGCTCGAAGATACACGTCAACAAACAAACCCAACACCCGAAACCTAAAAGCATCAACGGTTGTTTGCATGGTTAGGATTTATGCTCTAGGGTTTAGGGTTTAGGGTTTAGGGTTTAGAGTTTATACGCATGCATCTACCTGTGTCGCCAATGATGATATACTTGAAGAGATACTGATAAGGCGACATTTTGCTGAGCTGTACGAACACCACCTCCGAGCTCTATCCTCGTTCTGCTGCTGCTGTTGCTGTCGTTGCTGCTGTTGTTGCGGTTGCTGCTGTTGTTGCTGCTGCTACTGCTATTTATTCTGCTGCTGCCGTTGATGCAGCAGCCGCTGCTGCTACGTCGCTTGCTTCGGACTTTATTATGCCTAAGCGTTGTCGTGCTGCTCCTGCTGCTGCTGCGGCTGCAGCGCTCCTGGGGCTACTGCGGCTGCTCTGGTCTCCGTGAGATGATGCAGCAGCAAAAGGAGTTTCGGCTCTACCTCGACAAGAAAGTTTTGCTGCGCTGCTGCAGCAGCAGCTGCTGCTGCTGCCGCCGTTGCCGCGG